GGAATGAATCGTAGCCCGGCGCGAGGCCTTGAACAGGATATTAAGTGGAAATAATGCTGTGGTTGTCAGGAAACGCCGAGTGCAGCCGCATAGCTACTGCCAGTTGTGCAGCGAGGATATCCGGTGGCTGCGAGGTCTGTAATTTAGAATAAAAAGCTCTCCCAACACCCAAGAGGCTGACCTCAGCGCCGCGTGGCGGTAATGCGCGCGGCACCCACGGTGGAGACCGTCCAAGTGGTGACAGGTGGGAGAGCTTCGTCGTCGCTTAGACCTTCAGAGACCCTGCAAATGTGCCCACCTTCGGAATCAAACTGCAAAAGTGAGCCAGTCAACTCAATTGCAGTTGAAGTGTGTGGTCGCCTGCCCATTTCCAACGTTCATAAGCAGTGTAAGTCATATTTGGGAATATATTCTCTGCCTCAGCTTTTCAGGTTGCTTTGCTGTGTGCTGCAAACATAGCTTGTATGAAATTCAGCGTGGGAGCTATGCAGTTTAAAGAAGGGACGGGATGGTGCACACCTGTCTGCTTACATTGATCTAATCTTTAATTGCTTCTGGTGCCTTCCAGTCTAGACTACGTGGTCACATAGCAGCAGGTCAGATGCTGGAGAAGGACAAACTGAACGACGGACACTCTCTTCCCAACACGAGACTGGGAACCTAATCTCGCTGTCTGGATGTAACTCTAAATGTGGTTAAGCCATCTGATTTCTTTGCCAGGCTTAACATTTGACAAAAGCAGACGTCCACATGAAAAAGTCACTTTGCTTTGCCTAACTTGAACAACTCCAACCATTTCTTTTTTCCTAGATTGCCTAGCAGGGACCTCCTATCGCATCCCATTGTGACCTTTTCCCAATTCATTTCACTTCTCTGGGTTTATATTTGCCCCTTGGACACTGAAATTCCCTCGCTGTGTTAAAGGGCCTCAGAAAAACAAAGGAATATGCGCAGGGCTGAGGGTGTAGCCTGGCTAGCACGTGGGCTCTGGGCTCAATTCAGAGCACTACAAGCCCAACACTTGCATAGTTCACATTAGGTGTTTTCAGTTGGTTTCTAATGAAAAGTTCCTTCGCAGGCCTATTTCTTTACTGCATGTTAATTTTAAATCTCCTATACTAAGAAAGCAAGCAAACATTGACAGCAGGTTTAGTTTGAGCCACAATGTAAAACTCCACCATCTCTTAAATTAGTTTATCTTTTTACTATTAAAGTCCCACGCTAAAAGTACCACACTATCCAGGAGAATTACTTAAGACTGAGGAATATTGCTGTAGGCCACATGAGTGTGCTCTCCTTTACTCTCCTACCGAAGGTTTCCCAGAATAGCCTGGTTCTTTCAGGCTGAGGTCTTTACAAAGTGGGAATTGCTAGTTGACCGTTGTTCACCTAGCCTGAAGCATGTATCTGCAGTCCCAGGAGGCTGGAGAAGGATCCAGGACCACACAGCTGTCTTCTTAGATAAATCTGACCCACTCAGCTTTCTCTGGAGGTATGGTTCTTGCTGACTCACGAACAACAGGAAAGCGAGGGCCCATTAAGCAGCTCCCATGTTTTAAAGTTAAGTTGTTCTCCAAAGATGACGCTTGTGTATTTGTGCTGTGTTTCTGGAATCCCTGCTGTCAACGGTAGAGAGTCACAGGCTATTAGAGCTGAGAACTTGAGAAAAAAATCTTTATTCTTTTTATTTAACTTTGAGGATTTTTTAAAGTTAAATCTACATCATAAGCTAAAAACAAAACAAAGCAAAAGACAATAACAACAAAAAATCCATCCTTAATTCTGCCTGATGGCCCAGGCCTATAAATTCTGGCTACCAGAAATGCTGAGGCAGGAGGATAGAGAGCTCTCAAGGTCATCTTGGGGGCAACAGAGTTCATGCAAAGACCACCTAGGCGATTTTGTGAGACTTGGTCTCAGAATTAAAAAGGAAAAGCGGGCTGGGGTTGTAGTTCAGTGGTAGAACCCTTGCCCCATCCACAAGACCCTGGCTTTAGTCCTCAGCACCATGAAACTACAATAACAAAATCGATTCCTATTTTAACAATGTTTTTACACCCTTTTTTAAATGAGTGCAGATGAAAAGTGAGTCTACACACAAATTTTATCTCAACAGATCCTGCATAAAGTTGACTCACATGGTAAGCCCCAATCACCTTAACCTCTAATCTAGAGAAGATTAGACACGCCAAGTCAGAGAGTCACTGTGAAGATGAAATGAGATAAGGCATGGTAAACACCTGGCATTGGGTGCTCAATAAATGCTAGGAATCATGTTACTATTTATTCCCATTGTGGAGGCATGCCACACCTATAAAGTGTTACACTTGAAACTAATGCTTCTAATGCATGAATTACCTACTTACTATCATATCATTTATCACTCAGACATTGGGATAATTCATGTACATGAAGCAGCCTTCTGCTGACCCGTTTGTCCGTCAGTTTTAGGTCCTTCCCCAATGAAACAAGACCAAGAGTTCCACTGAGCCACCCCCACCACTGAGATCTAGGCGTCTACTCTGGCTAGAAGGAAATGTCCACAGCAGGGTAGAAACCTATAGTCCTATATTCCTGAGATGCAACTGCCCCCTTGACTCAAAGGCACTCGTTTTGCTATGACTTTTTTTTAGAATTATTATTATTATCTTTTTTTTTTTTTTTTTTTTTTTTTTGAGACAGGGTTTCTCTGTGTAGCCCTGGCTGTCCTGGACCTCGCTCTGTAGACCAGGCTGGAACTCACAGAGATCCACCTCTGCCTCCTGAGTGCTGGGGTTAAAGGCGTGTGCCACGTCTGGTTAGAATTATTTTTACATGTATTTATTTGTGTGAGTGTATGTGTGCATAGAGCATACATGGAGGGCAAAAGACAACCCACAGACAGAGTCATTCTTTCCACCGTGTGGATTCTAGGACTTGAACTGCGGCCGTCAGGCTTAGAGGTGATGTCTTTACCTGCTGAGGCACCTCGTGAGCCCACTTACTATAACTTTAGCCCATCTTACCTCCTGAAGCCTCCAGGCTGCCCTGCAGGAAGGTCCTCACTGGATGCACAAACTAGGTATATGGGATTTCCTGGATTTCTAAATTGTTAGGAATAAGTTTCTTTCTTTATAAATTACCCAGTCTGCAATATTAGGTGGTAAGAGTGAAAAACAAAAGACATTATGCAATTTTCTTGGCAGCCTCTTCCTCCCATGCCCAACCTTTAAAGCTTTTATACCCTTCATACCCTCTCTGAATGGACTCATACAGCCCTGGGTCACTATTGTCTCTAAGGAGATGAGTCTCAAAATTTTAACCCAACTGGAAGTTCCACACTCTTAATGCAGCCAGCCACCTGCTTTTCATCAATAGCTCACTGTATTATAAGCGTCTCAAACCTAACACGTCTCAAATTCTTAATTCCATCTATCCAAATTTATTACTCCCTAGCTGTTTTAAGCTCAAGTTAGGTACCACCATCTACCTAGTTCCTTGAACCAAAAGCCAGGAACCATATTTAATTCCTTTCCTTTACATCCTGTAAATTTTTCGAGAAAAATCGTAATGTGTCCATTTCCAGAATATTCCCCATACCCTGCCTTTCCACCATCCCTATCACCCCAGTACATGCTCCCCACTATCTCACGCAGGTGCCTATGAGTCCTTTCACTGTTCTCTCTGCATCCGTCCATGCTCTCTACATCTCCATTGTCCAGATGTGGAATGGCCAATTAAAAACAGAGCTCAGGTTATGCGTAACGCTCTCTCCAGTAGTTTCCCATAGTAGAAATAGAATTTACATCAGAGTAAAATTGTCCTGTAAGAACTATGAGAGCTCACCTTCTGGCCTGCCCACCTTCTGGCCACTTCTGGCTTTTCCAGTAACCTGTGCTCATCGGCTCAGTGGTCTTCATGTCCCAAAGCCCACCAATATTGAGTCCATCTTTGAGCCGCTGTACTTTCTGTCTTCTTTAAACTTTTTTATTATACTTTATTGTAACCCTGGCCAGCCTGGAACTCACCGTTTGGACCAGCCTGACCTCAAATTCCCAGAGACCCAGGAGTCAGTTCTTTTTCCATCTTGTGGGTGCCCGGGGAGCAAACACAGGTTATCGATCAGTCTTGGAAACAAGCGCCTGTACCCAAGGAGCCATCTCAGCTGTCCTCTCTTTCCTTCTGCACTGAAACCCCTTTGTCCTGATTGTCTCATCTGACGCATGCCATCCATCACTGTGACCAAGGAAGAGGGGCTGAAGTCAACCACACTGAGCCCTAGTTCAAGGATGCCTGAAGCAAGGAGAGCATCTCATTCTACAGACTCACTGACCAGTGGCCAAACCATGTGGCCAGGAACTCTGTCCTGCGAGAGGAGTGCCTCTTTCTAATCTGTCATTAGAAACTTGTGGTACCTGTATGGCTTGTAGACTTCAGAAGAACCTGTCGGAACTAGCGCTGTGAACCTTATTTTATTTAGAAACTAAGGCTGGGAGGGAAAATGACCTTTTCCATACCCTGCCTCTTGCTCATCTCACCATCCTGTCTCCTGGGGACAAAGAGACAAAGAGCATAAATTAGAAACCTCCTTTTTTTTTTTTTTTTTTTTTAGATCAGGTTTTAATTCTCCTTGATATAGGATATTTACGGTAAATTTAGAAATCCCTATGAAAACCCAGTTATAGTTGTTAAGCTTAGGGAACAAGCTGCAACTAGCTACAAAATGGCCCACCCACATGCCATTCCAGTGAGAAATTACCGGCAAGGTAAACTCAGTAAAAATCTGCCCTATCTTTGAGTCTCCATACATCTGAACATACAGACCTTGTCCCTCTATGGACCTTTGTGCATGCTGGTTCATGGTTTACTGAGATAGTTATCCATAAAAACCGCTAAGACAGAAAATACATTAACTTAATTAGTTTCCCCTTGTGATTGAAATTATCTACTTGGGGAATCGAAATGTATAACTATAGCACACTGCCATCCCTGCTGGTTTTTCTCCCTTATTCTTGGAAAAGATAAACTGTCCAAGAGCAGCAAGAAAATTGAGGCAGTGTCTTGGTAAGATGGTCTTAGGGAAACTACTCCTCAAGATCCTACGTAAACTACAGTGTGAGACCTAACCCTACTCTGGGAAGCAGAAATGCTACCTACTTTTACAACTCCATCACCATTTAAATCTTCAAGTACAGTAACTCAGCCGCTGCTTTAAGAAAGGATGTTAGAAGTGCTTATATAGCATTTATGATGAGCCAAACCCTGTAAGCCATTCCATCCTCCCAATAACCCCCATAGGATATAGGTTCTCATTACCATTTTACACACGGGAATACAGATACAGTGTCTTAATCCATTCGGGCTGCTATATCAAAATACTCGACTGGGTGGTTTAAAAACGGCATGGATTACTGGTTCCCCACAATTCTGGAGGGAGGAGTCAGCATAGATCCAGTGTCTGGTGAAGGCCCAGCTCCTAGTTCATAGATCCTACCTATTTGATGTCTTCTCATCATGGAAGCAGCAAGGACGTTCTCTGAGGTCTCACCTACGAGGCACTAATCCCATTCCATAGGATTCCTCCTTTATGTTAGTGATTTTTCTCACAACTGAGACAGAATATCTGACAGAAACAACTTGAGAGACCCGGCTCCACCTCCTAAAGATTCTACAACCTCCCAAAACAGCAGCACTGGCTGGGGTGCTACACGGGACCTGTGGGGCACTTCCTATTCAAATCGTAACAACTCTCAGGACCTAATCACTCCCCAAAGGTGCCACCTCCTAACACTGCCACAAGTGAA